CTACGGAAAGTGTTTAAAGTGTTAAAATGTCAGTTGACTGCAGCCGTTAAGCCGCCTTCTACCCACAGGTATCTGTTACTGGTTCTGATGGAGGCAGAGCGAGCTTGGAGCTACGCCATGCAGCTGAAGCAGGAGGCCAACACAGAACCGAGGAAGAAATTCCACCTGCTCGCCCGATTACGCAAGGCTGCCAAGCACAGCGAGAAGCTGGAGAAGCTCTGCGAGAGCCCGCGCGTTGACGCCAAGACCAAGCTAGAAGCACAGGTACGAAGATGCTTTAGAGGGCGATGAAAGCAAGTCGCTGGTAAAATTAGTTCCCATTTTGCTGAACTTTTCTTTTTTTTAGCTCGTCGGTAGTAAAGAATGAAATGGTTTTTAGTCATTGCTGGTTTCTGTTCTGGTATTCCAGGCCTACACTGCGTACCTGAATGGGATGGTTCACTTTGAGCTGCAGGAGTGGAAGCTTGCCATGGAGGCCTTCAACAAGTGCAAGTAAGTTTTAGCCCAAATCTAATTACTAAAGTGGTGGATTCTCATTTTCCAGACTGATTTCCAGACCGTGAACAAGAATAAAAGAACTTCCCCTTTGTTCTTCACAGGACCATCTATGAGAAACTGGCCAGCGCCTTCACCGAGGAGCTGGCGGTCCTGTATCGACAGCGTGTGGACGAGATATCGCCCAACATCCGCTACTGTGCTTACAACATAGGTGATTAGCTCGCATAGATCCACAGGTTTAGATGGGATCGTTTATTTACCCGAGTCTGATAAAGTTTGCTCTTCATTATGAAACCACAGGTGACCAGAATGCCATCAATGACTTGATGCAGATGAGGCTGACTGGAGGAGGAGGAGGCATGATGGCTGAAAAGCTAGAGGTGATCACTGAGTACATCTAGATCATTTAATGTTACAGGTGTTTCAGTCGGGATTATTCGCACAAGATATAAACCGGGTGGCAACTTTAGGCTTCTTTTCTGTCCCATTTTTATTTTAGCTAATTGTTATGGAGGTTAATGTTTCAGCTCTATTCGAAAGGAATAGTGTCACGCCACAGCTTCAGTAGTTCTGACATGCTTGATGGGGGGGGCACCTTAAAGGAAGAGTCTAATCAGCAAGGAATGATCAATGGATCATTATTTATACCTAAAACTAATACGTCCGCGGTGATTTAATGAATTTAGCGTTAATCGGTTAAAAAAAATTAAAAATTTCTTCGCGATCAGAGTCTGGGAGCGGCCATCTTTGCCCAAACATAGTGACCCCTCCCTCCTGCCATCTTCCAGCAGTGACGTCACGGTGCGGTAAGCCTAGCGCCATTCTCCCCGCTTTCCAAGCTAAATCAATGGGAACTACTAGACACATCTGCAATCAACAACAATTATTGAAGATTTCCAGAGGACTTCACCATTGAAATT